GAGATGATACAGTGGCGCTTACGTATTCTTTGAAGCATTAGTTCACCCGTCAACGGGTAATTGAGCCTTTCCGCGAACTCCCTGCAATACCACACCAGAAGCTCTTGATTCGGTAGTATCGGCTTGATCGTGTAAAAATAAATGTTCATCTGCGAAAAAAAAAAAAGAAGGAGAGGCAAAAGAGGCGGGNAATCCAATACTAGACGTGGAGAGGGTAGGGGAACTCGTTTCTCTCGATCCGAATTCGACTCACCTTATACTGGCATGCTATTAGGTTCTGCGATTCGGACGAATAAGCCGGGTTTACGTAACGCATCCAATTTGATTTCTGGACGTCATAACCGTCGATGTAGTAGAACAGCTCGTTGTTTTTGTACACCTATCGATTGATTAACGTACGTGACGATTTAGTCGATCGGACAACCAACGCACGCGTTCGACTCGCGATCGTAGTAGTAGTAGTAGTAATGGTAATAGTAGTAGTAGTAGTAGTAATAATAAACGCGAATAGTATCCGTAGGAAATCTTAGCTCGAGTCTGACTAACTGGTAAGACTAAATCTTCTATGTTCGAGGCTGTTAAGGCATCGAGCAACGGGGAAATATCCGCGATTTAGTAGCAAGAATCGGAAGAGGGAGGGAGGGAAGGAGAGAGAGAGAGAGAAAGAGAGAAAGAGAGAGAGAGAGAGAGAGAGAGGGAGAGAGCCAAGTTCTCTCTATCGTAACTCATCAATTCGTTACGAGGCATCAATGGCTTCGCGGGTTTCGCTTTAAGGCTCGCTAGATCGGCTGAAACCAGTTTCTGGTCTTTGCAGGCTTCTCTCTCTATCTTTTTCCCTCCCTTTTCGTCTCCCCCTCGTTTTTTCCTTTTCCCCCCTCATCCAACCGAGACTGGCCTACGATGATAGCCGACCGCTTGCGAAATACCTGACTACGTGGTTTTTGAATAGTGGCGCTCGATTCTTACCCTCCAGAAGTACTTCCGGTTCGCATCGGCCGGCACCGAGTCCTTGGTGTACACATGGCCCACGAGGGGACCGAACCGTGTCCCCTTGGGTATGTAACTCGTGCTCCACACGCCCAAAACCTACGGAGAACACGACAAATCGATATCCTTTATCAATTCCTTCATTTAACCGATTCAATCGATTTAAAATTCGATTTGGCGGCCCTCTCAACGCTCCTTTCTCTTCTCTTCTCGCGTAATTGTATCGTACGCGCAAAATATATCCTGCTCGAGTGTGAAATAGTAGAATTTTCCGCAATTCGATTTTTGTCAAAGAACACGTTAAAACACTATTAAAATTCGTTTTTATCCGCGGCGATATTTACGAACGTTTCCACGGATCTATTATTTTCATCGCACACGATATTAATAATAATTTTCCAAACCGCGATTCGACATTTTCGATAAAGAATTCTTCTGTCGTTTTCCAAAAATCTTGTTTGCTCCCGTTTCGTTCCGTTTTCAATTACCCGACGCAAAAGGAATCGAACGATATTCGATGTGTGTACGTACGCGCTCCAAGAGTAAGAGTTCGCAGAGTTCGTGCAATGACCGAGGCTATTGGTCTCGATTCCCCGTGTCACCGAGGAAAGTGTAACGATTGACTCTAGGTCGTGCGGCTCGGTAAGTTGATTAGCTTGTTCGTCGCTCGGTCAAGTTTGATTCCACCCCTTAAATCGGGTGGAACGATTAAAGCCGCGTCAACCCGCCCGATCGAAACAAGATTCCAAAGACCGAGCTGCTTTTGCTCGAGTTCGCGTCGCGTTCGAGGGGGCCGCTGTTTCGGGGGTTTAGAGGGGGGTTTAGAGAGAAATGGTTGATTACACTCGCGACTCTCACCGAGGAGGTCTCGAGAAAGGATTCTTTGGCGGAGGAACGTACATCGTTGAGGGCCTGAGAAGGTTTGAGGACCAAATTTCTTGGCAGGGATGCCTCCGCACGATTGGTATCGCCAGGCGATGCCGACACATCCGGTACCAAATATACCGCATGCTGCTCGAATTCCTCTTCTCTCAAGGTCGCGTGATCCCACTCGCTAGCCTCCATCCTTCACTGTACAAAAATTCATAAAAAAAAAAAGGAAATATATATATATTAGTTTTCATCGTTTAGCGATAAAAGGGGATAATGTCTAATTCGAATCATTACGCGAATATTAATATTAAAAGTGTTAAAAAGTTTACATTTTTTCGATTTACATCAAAGAGGCGGATAGGGATTGTTTATTGATATTTGATAATATTTTTAAAGCGTTTGATATAAAATTGATAATTGATAAATTGATATAAAATGATATAAAATTCATAAAGAAAAAAAAAGAAAATATATATATTAGTTTTCATCGTTTAGCATTCCGATAAAAGGGGATAATGTCTAATTCGAATCATTACGCGAATATTAATATTAAAAGTGTTAAAAAGTTTACATTTTTTCGCTTTATATCAAAAATGCGGATAGGAATTGTTTATTGATATTTGATAATATTTTTAAAGCGTTTGATATAAAATTGATAATTGATAAATTGATATAAAATGATATAAAATTCATAAAGAAAAAAAAAGAAAATATATATAAGTTTTCATCGTTTAGCATTCCGATAAAAGGGGATAATGTCTTAATTCGAATCATTACGCGAATATTAATATTAAAAGTGTTAAAAAGTTTACATTTTTTCGATTTATATCAAAAATGCGGATAGGAATTGTTTATTGATATTTGATAATATTTTTAAAGCGTTTGAATCGTCCTTAATCGACGCCGACGAAAGAACGCGTCGAGAAAGAATTTTTATCCTCCCTTGATTAAGAGACGTGGATCATCGCGGGCGAAAGTGGAGACTCGTGGAAATCCCGATATTATTTAGGAATCGACAACGGCAAAAGTATCTATGTGTAATGACGGCCGACAACGCAGAACGTTATAAATAGTTGAGATTCCGGTAAATCGATACGATCAATAACTCCAGCCATTAACTTCGAAACGCTTGTAAAAGAGAGGAAATGCGTTCGTGTCCGCGTGTCGCAACTATCGAGAAATTTTTTCTTTCTTTCCTTCTCTCCTTCTTTCTTTCTTTCTTTCCTCTTCGAGTATTCTTTCCTCATCGATGAAAGTCCGAAGAAACTTTAATTATACGTCTTCTTTGTTCCTTGCTTCGAAGAGAGAGAAAGAGAGAGGGAGAGAATCCACGTGATAAGGGAGAAATCGCATTTTTTCCCTTGTCCCTCAATCGGGGATGGTGCAACACTTTAACATCGCGAAAGTGAAACCCGTCCACGCATTGATCGACTGCAGGGGTGAGAGGGAGGGGGACGGGGCATAAACTCTGAAGTCCGACCCTCCGCTCCTCACCCCCGCCCAC